TTCCCCGCGGATGCGCGTTCTCGCGACACCGAGAAAAGGAGGACGTAGACACGGGAGTGCGAGGCGAGAGTAGTAGACATTTCTGTGTATATTTTATTGTGCACATATTGCGAACCGTTCTCCGCCAAGCCGCACGGCACACACGAACGCGTGTCAAACTCACACCGACGCGACGTACACGCCTCTCTCGCCGGAGGCTCCCCCCGAGGGGGAGGGGAAGGGGGGAGGGCGAGGTTGGTGGCGAGGTCGGAAGGGATCGCGACTCGTGGTTGGGCGAGGTCGAGGGAGAAAAAGCGAGGAGCACACAGCGTGCGGAGAGGTCGGCGGCGGTGGCGTGGAGAGCTCGATTTTTCCGATAGCAAATTTTGCTCTTCGCTTTTTCCCGCCCGCTCCCTCCCCCCTTCCACCCCCTCCCCCCCGAACCAACGCCGAGCCACCACCAACGCGTCCCCACCGTCAACCACCGCCACCCATCCACCCCCAACGGCGGTGGCGGCGGCGGCTGCTCCCGGGTTTCCCCCTTCCGGCGGGCACCCTGTTCTACCCCCCTTTCCCTCCCTCCCCCCTCGTCCGCCCGCCTGACACCAACGTCCCATTCGTTCCTCCGCTCGTTGCGACGGCCCGGACTCGCCCTCTTTTTTCTCCCTTCTGCCCACGACCACCCCCGCCGCGCGCGCGTTCTCCCTTTACCCTCCCTTGTCCCTCGCCCGCTTCCCTCTCAATCACCATCTGCTCCTCCGCCTCCACCTGGCGCGGCCCGACCGATCAAACCAGTGGCACTGCAGACACAATAAAAACGGGAAAAAAAGCGGCGGCCGCGCACACATTTCGCGCAGTCACTCTCTCTCTCTCTCTCTCTCTCTCTCTCTCTCTCTCTCTCTCTCTCTCTCCCTTTCTCTTGCTCTCCCTCACGAGCAAGAGATGACGAGCTACTGGACGCTTTTGAGAAGTTATTCATGAAGCGCCCAACGAGATTCCTCGAGCGTCGCGTATTTTTTTTCCCCCCCAGACGCGACGCCCAGCGTTCTCGATAAAAAAAAAAAAATAGAGGCGTACAATTTTACGAACGTTAAACGTTTCGTTTGTTCGACAAATCTCAAAAATCTCTCGACAATTCCCGCGACTGTCAATCGTTATCTCGATAACGGGTGGAAAGCGTATACGCGTCTCGGATACGCCGGATACGGAAATCGCGATCGGCCGGATCTTTTGTTTTTCCGAGTGAAAGGTGGAGCACGCGCCAAACAAGGGACCGAGCGAGCCGAGCGGGTATTGACCATCCGATATCGATATTTCGGCGACGCTTTATCGCGGACGTGCTCGTTAAACCGATAAATGAATAATGAGCGTACTGTATATGGGATGGATATGGAGAGACAACCGGCGGGGGGGAGGGAGGGTGGTGGCAGGGGCGGCGGGAAGGGAGAAGAAGGGGGAGGGGAAGGGGAGAGACAAGCGCCGGGGGAATGGAGCGCGCCGCGCGAGGGGGAGCGAACCAGCGAATCGAACAAAACAACGAAATCGAATCACTCGTGGTGGCCGCCCATACTTTTCATGCGTGAATTTTCCGACTGCCCCGACACGTACGTGCAGCTGCGGAATCGCCGGTAATAGCGTTAGTAAAATCGAGAGTAATGCCTGAAAGCGTTTACAATACGCATCGCTTCCTGCAAATAAAAACGTGGGGGAACGCGCGCGACCGCGCGTGGTCATTGGCCGACGATGTACGACGAAACGGGTCAAAATCAAACTGTATACCCGTCGTGATGTAACCCCCCCCCCCTCCCTCTCCACCCGCCCCCGATTCCCAATTCGACGCCGGCGGCCGCTCCGGCGGCGCCGAGATGTTACGATAAGAAAAATGACACTCTCTCTCGCGGGTAACGAGACGCATCGATTACGTTTTAAGCGCCTTCTCGCGCGACTGTAAGCGCTCTTGACGTCGATCCTTCAAAGATCGATAATTACTATCCGCACCTATAATATCCGATATTAAATGAGCAGCACACAGTGCCGATTACCTTATTAATTCACGTATTATACGGCCGATCGAAGAACTGCCCCTCTCCCCGGATCGACGGGGGCGTTTATATAGCCGGCGCGATATATCCATAAACTATCCGGCAAGCGTGATTCCGGTTGACAATGATTATCGTACAGGTGTAACAGGAAAACGTAACAGCTCGGTTGCGGTCAGAGACGGCTGACGATGATGACAGTAATTGCCGAGAATTAGCGACGTTAATAACCTCCAGGGAGAACGTAGGGGAGGGCGAGGGGTGGAGGAGGAGGAGGAGGAGGGAGAAAGGGAGAACGGACGCGTTCGCGCTGCGTGGACACTTGCCGAACCGGTCGTCGTCGGCGCGTTAATGTAACACCCGATAATTCCCGGGTGCCCGCGATATTTTGCTCTTTCGCGTCGCCGGATCCGTTATTCATTCTCGTCCGCGCGCGCTTTTTCTCGTTTTATTTCCATGGCGCGCTCCCGCGACAACGCCCGGTCTCGTTATAAACGCGCGGGGCCGGTTATTAATCGCGGATACCCGCGTGGCGGGAGCTACGAGCGTGTCGACGAGGCGGCGCGGCATTTCGATTTTATAAATATGAGATACCGGATACGCGCGCTGATCGTGTACGCAGCGCGCGCGTATACGAGCGTGTAAATCGCGCGCGCGCGATAATGCCCGCCCGATAATAATAAATCCCCGCCGCCGCCGCGTCCGGTGTGCTACCAGAAGCGATAAATCGTAACCGAATTAAAAGTGACAGCAGATAATAATCGTCATTCCGATCCAGAAAAGTACAGTGAGACCGTCACGTCGTATTTCAGAGTGCCGCCTCGAAGTGCTTATCTCGAGGATATCGGGAGCATAAAACGGGCGGATACGACACGATCGTATTGCGATTTCCTATCGGAATTTATATTCCATCGCTCCGATACCACATTTCACACGGTACGTATATCTCGCGTATATACTTGTACCTCCGCGTATAGCGCCACGAATGTCCCTTCCCGTGAAGGAAGTCTTGAAAGAGTTATGCTCTTCATTCAACCTTAATACGTAACTTTTCTGCGAGACTTACAGGCGGAAATCCACGTTTCGATCATACAGAAAAATCGCCGTTCGCGGTCTCCCCAGAATAGAATTCGCCTTCTTCTTTTCCATTTGCGCACTCTTTTACGTACTGTGATATTTTCCTTTTTTTTTTCTTCGCTGAACAATACATTTCTCCTGCAGATATCCACTTTTGCTCAATTTTCGAACAAGTGACGTGGAATGCAAATTCACGAAAATAAATAAATTAAACAAATACACTTGATTCGCGTAATTGCTGTTTGATCTCTCCAGTCACGTCATATCTAAAATACTCGCGTACGCGTCAACAGCGTCGCTCGATTGAATACCCGCTCAGGAAAAGAGATAAGCAAGCTGCTACCTGACTTGCGTCGCTACTGCATGGCTCCGTGCAGACCTGCCGACGTGCAGGCTGAACACGAGGTCTTATTCATGATTTGAGGGACGCATCCTGCCGGAAAAAGGAGAGGAGACGGAAAGAATAGCCGGGACACAAAGACGGACGAAGGAGGGAGGGGGATGGTGGAGGCGGGATGAAGGAAATAACGGGCTCAGCTGCTAAATATTCAATAAACGTGAGCATTACTCGTCGCTGCACGCCCACGTCCCAAGATAGATTATGGAGGAGCGCGGAGTCGATGAGGGACGAGAATATCGAAGTAGGCGAAGAAGTAGGGGGATCGCCATTTATTCTACGGAATTCGTGATCGAGATTCTTGTCCGATAGCGTGTACAGAATGCCTCCTCCAGGACACTCGAGAGCTACGTCGTCGATATTGCCGGCTGCGTCGATAATCCGACGAATTCACTTGTACTTTGCCGCGTGTTCAAAACGAGATATCTCACACTGCAGACCTTCCGCGCGCGCGGCGCGGATCGGCGGATCGAAAATCCATTCCGCGGATAACAACGCGTCAAGAAGCATGCGATTCCCTCGGCGGGGATTTGATCCGTACAAGACTTAGCGCCTGCAAGCCCGCCCCGGCGGGCGTTTGACTTCGATCAGACGCGTCCTATAATTAAGAGATACGAGCCTTGTTGCCTCGATCCGATTAACGCGTTTCTCCTTTCCCACCTCGCGAGCCTCCCTACGTCGATCCTAATTTATTCGATTGGGCGCCACCTTTCTCTCGTCGTAAAAAGAGAGAAATACGGACCGCGCTTCGAGGGAAGATGAAATCAAATGCTTCGCGTTTCGGTTGCCGTCAATGGACGCACGTGCGAGAAGATAAAAAAATTCAAACAAGCCCCCCCCCCGTCACCGATGAATATGGATATACGATGCAAAAGGAGCTTGATTACGAAAATCTTTGTAATGGAGATTCTCGAAAAAATGTGAGGGACACTTTTATTTCTTCTTATTATTCAAAAACAATACGTAGACGTTCGACGATGCTCTGTATACGAGAAAAAAATAAAGAATTACGAGTATCATTTGATTTGTACGTGCAACGTGCGGAAAGAAGTAGAGGGCTTCACGACTCGGCCCCGAGTGCTTTCTGAAAGCACGGGTAATCTCGGGTAGTTCTTAATAAAAGTCTGCGAGAGTCGAGTTAGGTTGCTTTCTTTCATTGCGCAAGGTTTTGCGCAAGAGGCAATGGCGCGGGAATCATCCCCTCCTCCCCGCCCCCACCGGTCGCGCTAGCTATTTGCATGTTATTACCTTGTTTACATATTTATTCAATAGCTAAGATCCCGGAGGGTCGCAAACACCCCGTAATCGGGGCTTTCTCCTCGTGTTCGGCCCTTTAATTTTGGATTAAAGCCCAAAGCTGCGCGCGACGCGTGCCAACTGGGCGATTAATAAATCACCGTCGCGACCCGACGCGACGTCGCGTATCGATCACGACGGTGTCGTTTTCTTCGCCGCATTTCCGAGGTACTTAAAATAATGTAGGCGGAAACTGAATCTATCTCCCTTACCTGCTTGTGCATCTCCACATTAAGCCCGTACGACATCTCGTAATACTGCAAAAGTAAATGAAACAGACAGATTAGAACGGGTAATCACATAAATTACGGATGTTAGTACGGAATTAGTATAAGCGTATAGTGTGTTGCGTATAGGCTACATCGTTATATGCGTTTCGTTAACGAAGCCACGTCGACGTTAAGCGTAAGGTGATGCGTGCGTGAACTGGCAGCGTAACGCCGACTTTCTCATGCAAAAGCTGAACTTTGCCGGAAGGTTGCTCACACGAAATCCAATTTTCGTATTTACGTTACGGCTTTGTCATTTTATCCTATCCCGAAAACGTTACCGTGTAAAATTCCCGTTTATTCTCTCTCTCTCTATCTTCTCTTTCTCTCGGAAAGCTAAGAAAATTCGGTTAAATTTGCGCCACGAATGCAATGCCGCATATATCTAGGTATACCTACGTGTTCACGAATTGTAGAAGTGAACATCGATTTTATCTTTCATTGCGACGACGAAAAGATTCGTCGTATACTCTATTCGACGTGTTATTTTTGCGCGTAACGATCCGCGAGCACAAATAATTGAAATGGGCGTATAAATATCACGTCGAATAAAACGCGAAGCCACTCCGTGGGATTAATCGAATTATCGAGTTTCGCAAACCAAGATGCCGCTCGAATCCGTAATGACGCGGCTGTGTGCGGGAAGGAGCGCCTCGCGGAGAGGATCCTTAAGGGCCTCGCCTCGCGATTGCAGGGTTGAGATTATATCGATCAAATGAGATTACGAGATTACGAAAAGCGGACCAAATTGAGCCGTAATGCGAGACCGCAGTCAGCCGGTAAGAGGGATAAGCGCGTCGAGAAAATGAGAAAAACGAAGACGAGGATGAGAAAGGAGCGCGGCCCTCTCCCTTCTATCTGTCTCTCTCTCACTCTCACTCTCTCTCTTTCTCTCGTTCTTCTCCTTCTCCCCAAGAGGGAGAAAAGGCTTGTACGTGCGCGCGCGTACGCCGTCGGAGTGCTGCACGTGTGCGTATGCGTGTCGACCAAAGACCGGTTTCTCGTAACATCGTTTCTACATCGTGTGTACAAGACTCAAGCCGGGGCTGGCTTTAACTAATTCGCTTACCGAACAGCGGTTCTCATTTCGCACGCATGGGATTTCTGATCGTAAAAGATTCGCGACGGCGGCGAATGGCGCTCATACGTATTTAGCGTAAAAACGTCGCCGTTGGTAGCGCGGTTTCGCGCGGCATTTCCGTTCCCTCCGCGAGCCCATATTCATTGCACTCCTGTATCGACGCGATACATACCGACGCATGCACGTGGGTGGGAATACGGAGTATTATAAGTAACGACGATCGGCCAAGGAGGGAAAAAGAGAGAAAATCCGGCAGTTCGCGATTTTAACGAGCGTCTTGAATATAGTCGCCGCATTATTCCCCGGCGGAATCAACGACCGTTGTGAAAACGGGCTTTATTGCCCGGCGATCGTAAAGAGCGTACTAAACCGCGTTTTAATATATCGGTGCGGCTACGACAGTCGGTTTAGAGTTTTTCACGCATATATATACGAGGGGGAGCGTAAGGTAATAAACGCCGATAGACGTCGTGACGCGCGCGGACCCGAAGAAGACAATTCTCGCGCGCTTTCGAACGCAATGTTCTCTCGACGTTACGTTACGATTTTAACGACACCAGTAATATTTATTTCGCAATGCGGTAGAATTACCGTTAATACTTCAAACGCGGGCAAATTCGTCTGGATGAATATTTTACGGACCTGCTTCGGACAGGCCGCGATTAATTAAACCCGTTTGTTTTAATAATTCGATATTCATTCGGCGCGGTTTATCTTCGAAATTACGATTATTTTGTAAATTGCGAACGCTACAATGTATATATAGAAAATATAAATGTAGAAATTTGGCCCCGCGCACGCTCCCGCTTTTAAATATAAATTAATCCGCCCATATTTTTATTACATTCGCGCTCGCGAGCATTATCAATAAATCGCGAAATGTATATTTCAATCGGCTCTGTTCTTGCGAAAATAATAATTTCGTTGAAAGCTCGCAGCTTATGTTGCAGCATATAGTGAAATGTAATTATGTTTAAATACATCAACTTTATTAAAACGTCGAGAACAAAATAAAAGAAAAGCGATTAAAAATTTACCAATGACGTGTATTCCATTTTTTATCATCGAGTTTCTCTACTAACAGAAAATTAATTACAAATCGTTTTTTTTTTGTAATTTAATTGTCGAGAATATAATTCGGCGAAATAATTCCTCTCCTCCTCCTCCTCCGTGCATTTTGGCCGGATTCGCCGGAAAGAGAAAGAGAAAGAGACGGTTAAGAAGTGCAAGCTACACGAAGATCGTCTCGCCACTGGAGACCGTCCCAACGAAGCAATTGGTCTTTAATTAATAGACTTCACTGACGGAGAGAGACCGTCGGAGAGATCGGGATCTTAATTATCACGAGACTGGAAACGCCACTCTTGCGGTCGAGATGTCTAATGCGAGTCAAGGAACACTGTGAATAGCGACAGTCGGTTACGATAATGGAATGAAGCCACTCGTAAACTCGATGCGGCGTGAACGTTACATAGTAACCGTGAATATTTCATAGTATCGATATTCTATGTATGTACAATCGTGGACATATCGGTTGCGACACTTTTTATTTATAGGTCTCAAAACGCACTAATATTTTGCAAATACGAACCACGATTGGTGTTATACTGTCGTCTAGGCTAAAGATAGTACATCGTGGTTCGCATTTGCAAAATATTAGATACCTATATAAAATATATATTATGCATATTAAAGATACATTAAAAACCTATTAAAAAAAAAGTGTCGCAAGCGATCTGTCCACGACTGTACGCGTTGCACCGCGCAATTTTTCCTTTATGTTAAAAACTGACGAAGCATTTCGGTGCTTTTGGACAATAAATCTTTTTTTCTTCTCATCTTTTCTCGAGATCGAGAATAATTTTAGCCTCCAAGTTCGTATAAAATTCTCTCTCGTTCGAGAAACAGTTCGAGAGAAGATTCGGGTTGAATTATTAACTGAAAACTTACTCCGCGTGGATAAGTCACCTCTAATCGTGACCGATTGAATCGCGAAAACGACTCTGGAATGGCGCAATCTCTTTTCAATTCACGAGCAGCCAAATGATATCGATCACGATCGGTATCTACCCCACGAAGAACGTGCTGGCTTGTCCCCTCTCGCGTAGAGAAAGAGAGAGAGAAACCTTTATCGTACCCTTCATCGTCTCGCAATGAAAATCATTCTCGAACGTATATAACTCTTTAGGCAACGACGATGTCTCTGATCGTGTACGATTTGCAAATTTCGTCCTCGATGCAACCTCGTTACTCCGCGGTCGAATCGGCTTAATCAAGAACATACCGCAAGCCTACGTGTACGACTGGCAACAGTCCGTGTTTGCGCTCGTGTAACTCGTGCTGTACGAAGTGACTCAGCAAATCGGGCCTCGACGTATCGTATCGCATATACGGGGAAATTAATTCTCTCGCGTATACGCGTTCTTATACACCTCCAGCACTATTTCCGTACTTAATAGAAACGTTTTACAGTATCTCACTCGACCGGCGCGGCGGCGAGAGTATATCGCGCCCGCAGTTAGCGTGCGATTCGCGAGCGGAAACACGAAGCGTAACAACTCGGGCCAAATGTATCGAGTGGCATTGCCGAGCGCGACGAACGAAGTGCTTCCTCGCGACCAGGTCTCTCTTTCTCTCTCCCGCCTGCACGCTCGCGGTTCGCGCGCTCGTAAAAGTTCACGAGCTCGACAATTACATGAAAGAGTCGTAAAGGCGTAACGCTTCTCCTCCTCCCCCCCC